CAAGAACTATTTTACCATATATCCATTTCTGTTACTTAAGACACTTTTGTTTGTCTCTTTATATAGGAACAATAGTATTTTCCTCCTGACTTTCTTTAGTTCTCTTCTATCTCTCCCACCCTTCCAGATCAAGCAATATGGCTAATTTATTCCCAGGAGTTAATAATTCAAATGTGAGCAAAATGTCTTAAAATATAAAAAGAATGTCAGTCAGAGGGACAAAAGTAATATATATAGAATACTCGTATTTATTTATTCATTCATCCTTTTTGTAAACAATGCATTCAAGGTGACATTCCAGGCAAATTTCAACTATTCTGAATAGGATATTTCAGATACTTTCAGTTCAGAATCATATTTATTGAGTGAATAAATAAATCTTATTTAGGAAGATTCAATTTTAATGCATGTTTCCCTTACAAGTTCAGTATATTTCATATTCAATTTCTTCCTGTTCCTATCTAAATTTGAGTAGATTAGTTTACAGAAAATAGTGACATTACAATAAATTCAACCTAAACTGGTATAGTTTTCTTTATAATTTTATTGATTACAAAAGCAGTTTTGCTATTTGTAGATTATATTAATGATAGCAATAAAGTAGAACATTGGCAATAAATAGAAACTAAATATATTTGGGCCAAAATTAGAAGTCAAACAACAGCTGGAATAACTAAAGCAGTGGTTCCCAAAGTGAGCGGTACCGCCCCCTGGGGGTGGTGGGATGCCTTAGGGGGGCTCAAAGAGGCAAGGGGTCTGGCAGGGGGGTGCTAAGAGGCGGCAAGGAGGCATTCGAGGCCTTGCAGGGTCACCCCATTGAATGTTGCATCGCTCCGGAGCCGATACCTTGAATGCGGCAGCTCCGATGCACCGCATTGTAATGGGCTCCAGGAGGAGGAGGATGGGAAGGAGTAAAGTGCACTAAATTTGAGTGTGCTGCATAGGTGCTGCAAGAGCAGTGAACAGCCATGGAGCCGACTGTGGTGGGGCCTGGAGGGTGCACACGAGACGAGAAGGAGGGGAGATGGAGGGAGAAAGCCTCCGCCACAGCTTGCGCTCATTCCTCAGCCAACCTGGATTTCCAAAAACTCGCCAAGAAGAAAGAAAAGAAGCTTCTCACACTCTCGGAAAGTCCTGCGTGCTCTACTTGGAGCTCTTTGCTATCCTTTTTTTCTTCCTTCCTTTTGGAAATCCAGGCTAGCTGAGGAACGAGCGGAAGCCGCGGTGGAGGCTTGCCTCCTCCCCCTCCTCATCCTCTTGTTCTTCAGCCAGCCCAGATTTCCAAAAGGAAGAAAGAAAAGGGAACAGCGAAGAGCCCCAAGGAGAGCATGCAGAGCTTTCCAAGAGAGTGAGAAGATACACAGACAGGGAGCAAGAGAGAGGGAGATACACACACACACACACACACACACACACAGAGAGAGAGAGAGAGAGAGAGAGAGAGAGATACAAAGGGAGAGATTTGGCTCAATTCAGCTCTGTCTGCTCCCCTCTCTCTGCCTTTGCCCAGTTTTGCAAGGATTCAGCAGCGATCTAAGGCAGCAACCTCGTAGCACTGTGAGGTAACAGCCCGACTGTCACTCCTTTTGGAATGCAAGGTTTATTTTTGTATCTCTCCAGAGACAGAAAGAATGTGGCCAAATTTCCTTAGTTATTCCCTCGGTGTGGGAGTTGGGAAGTGGGGAGGGGAGTGGGGGAGAAGGAGGGAGGAAGAGGCATAGAAAGAAAGAGAAAGAGTTAGAGGAGAAAGAGAGAGAGAGAGAGAAGGAGAAAAGGAGGGAGAGGGAGAGAGAGATGGGAGAGGGAGGGAGGAGATAGAGAGAGAGAGAGGGAGCAATCTGTTCCCCATAGAAAACACAGAAAACCACAAAGTCAAGTGAGTCATGTGACTCAGTGGGTGTGACATTGAGTTGTCACGCCCACCCATGTCTTGGGGCTCCTGGTGTTTTGTTTTCTGTGGGAAACAGGTCCAAATGGCTCTTTGAGTGTTTAATGTTGCAGACCCCTGACCTAGGGGGAGGCAGTGGAAGGGGGGGCTTTGACCACATGCACAATTTCCAGGATCCTGCTCAGCCAAGCCCACCCCTCTTTGTAGTTGCCGTGCCTGACAGCAAGTTCACAGGGTGCCTCTCCTACCAGGGATCAGCCTCCCAAGATGCCCCCACCTCTCAGAACACTCACGTCGTAGAGGGCGGTGCTGTTCCCTCCTTCCTGGACTAGGACAGGGTTGAAGAAGCCCAGGGGAGGCAGCTTTGCTCCACTTTTGCAATGTGCCACCACTGCGTTCGATGGGCCAGCTCCGCAGGCTCACCTCATTGAGCCCCTTGCACCTCTCCAGTGCAACAGTCAATGGGGTGAGCCTGCGGTGCCAGCACCTAGAATGCCCCCTTGCTGCCTCTAAGAGCCCCTGAGGGGGCTGGCAGAGGGGTGCTAAAAGGCGGCAGGGGGGCGTTCGAGGCTCATCCCATTGACGGTTGCACTACTCCAGAGTCGGTGCCTCGAATGCGGTGATGGCGGCTTTGCTTTACTTTCCCAAAGTGCTGCTGCTGTCGCGTTCTGTCTATCTGTCTATCCATCCGTACATCAAAGGTCTGTCTGTCTGTCTGAAATGAGGCCTAGTTTAGACTGAGGCTCTTTTCCACATTGAAACATCTTTGCCAGCACATTGAAACATCTTTGGCTATTGAAGATTTTGTGGACGAAACATGGTCAAGACTATCAGGAAGCTCTCACATTTTGTTGAGGCTTTAAACAGGATCCATTGGACCAGATCTCCACCCTAAAAATTTACTTTTCCCCAATGTTTTAAAGTGCCAATTCTGAAGAAGGCAAAACCAAAATGTACTGCTAAATTACAAGGACACACACACACACACACCCTTCTAACCCTGCTGGAGCAGGTGATTGGACTAGAATAGATACCTCATTATCTTTCTCCTCCCTCCCTCCTTTATTTTTTTTCTTTCTGTCCCTTCCTTCCATCCCCCCTCTTTCTTCATCCGTCCCTTTTTCTTTCTTTCCCTTTTCTCTTTCTTTTCTTCCTTCTTTCTTTCTTTCTCTTTCTTTTCTCTTTCTCTCTTTCCCTCTCTCAGGCTCACCCCATTGTCTTAGTCCACTGTTGCGCTTGGACTTGCTGGGGCAAGTCCATCCGGTGCAGCGGGCTCAATGGGGTGGACCTGCGGGGCTGGCATCTAAAACGTGGCAGTGGTGGCACGTTTGAAAAGTTGAGCAAAGCCAGAGGTCAGTAATTTATGCTGCAAAAAAATCACAAAAGCTTCTGAGTTGTGCACAAGAAGGGACACACATGTCAATGCAATTCAGCAACATAAAATAAAGAAATAAAAATAAAACAAATCAACAAGAATCAGCAAAGCATCTCTGATTAGAATCTAATCTGAGATGCTTTGCTGATTCTAGTCCAATGACCTACTCCAGCAGGGTTAGAAGGGAGTGTGTGTGTATGTATGTGCATGGCTGTCAAAACTCCAAAAACAGGTCAAGTAACTCTGGGGAGGCCAGTCATAAATTAGAACACTTGCTAAACAACCGGCCATTAAGTGAGGACCTCTTGTATTTGGTTTGCCAGTCCAGTCACCTGGGCACGCCCACCCAGTCACATGACCACTAAACCACACCTATCCGGTCATGTGACCAGCAAGCTACGCCCAGCCAGCAAGCCACTCCAGCCAGTCATGTGACCAGCAAGCCACACCCGCAAATTAGGCCACGCCCACAGAAATTTAAATCCCAGCCCTGGGTGGGGGGCACCGAGGATGAGTTTGTAGCACAAAGGGGGCGGTGGACTGAAAAAGTTTGGGAACCACTAAATGAAAGTATTGTTTTAAGTATGGCAAATTTGGCAGAACTATGGCAATATTATTGGAACATGGACATGCTTTACTTCGCTATTAGTTTTACATTTTAATTTTTCACAATCATATGTAAGAATGGTTATCCAAGGGAAGCAAATGATGAAGTGTATATCATAACACACTTTTCTACTTGTGTTATGAAGTCATAAGTATCTAAGAGTACATTTTGAATTGTGATGTCAAAATGTATATTTGACCAAAAAATTGCTATGGACTCCAGTTTCTTTTAGCAATCTATAAAGTTATTCTATTTATTATTTGACTTAGGGAAAAAGACTTAATCAAATATAGTATTTAAAATATTTCCAAAACAGACTATTAAATATTTTATATAAAAACAAGGATATTATTAAAATTATCTGAAATATCCTTAATTTAAGCTAGGTTTTTATTTTTTCTTCTTCTTTAAGTATTACAACATTGTCATCAAAAACTTCTGAGCACCACAGGATAAGCCAGCAATTGGCAGCAGGGTGCACCATGTCACTATGACCATTTTAGATGGCATCCATAGGATTCCAAAATTAAATTAAATTTAATTTATTTTTATACTAAATGACATTCATAAAATTGCAGTTTAAATTTTTATTTCCATATTTAAAATAAAATTAAGAATCTTTCTAAGAATTTTGTAAGATTAACTGCAAAGATGCCAAAATCTTAGTTTACATTGACACCTCACGGGCCACCAGTCAGAAATTTTGGTAGCAATCCATGGTGGTAAAAATGATTCAAATTATGTGTATAGATTGGTTCCTTTAGGGAAAATCAATGGAGAATTGATAAAAATGTTTATTTGAAAAAAATAGAAATGGCTTAAATATTGTTAAAACTACAATCTGGTCATTAAAGGAAAATGTGTATTATTAAATTATATTTTATCTAGTTACTCTTCTTAGAGGTTTAGTAGGTGGTTTTAGCGCTGAAGCATTATAATTTTAAAAACTGCTTTTGTCCCTCTCAACATAAATATTTATGATGTGCAGATGTTGAAGGAAGGAGATAATACTATTTTTCCAGTTATCACAAAGCAGTCATTAAAGAAAACAGAAATAGAAGTTGGAAAAATAGATTTTCAGAGTCTGGACAACAAGCCAAGCTGGCCTAGGTCTGCTCTTTATTACTTACTACCAATGCTGGAAATACTGGGCATACCTGGAAAAAAGAAGAAGAAAAATAATATTGGTTAGGAATGGAAACATGTTGACACTAATACAGTAGAGCTTTTACATGGCTGCACTGATATCAAGATGAAGTATAAGTATCAAAAACTAAAGGACAGATTAGCCAAAGCCAAGCATTTTAAATAATCCCTGGCTTGGGTGAAACCTATACACTATACACCTCTACTTTACATAATCATATATACAGATATTAGTACTATATACAGATCTATATACAGATGTATACTATATATACTTGTACACATGTAGGCTCTCTTCTTACAAACATTCACATGGGTGCATAGATATTTTGCCTTGTTAAGGTACTGCCACCATGAACAAGTGGAGAAGGACTATATGCCCTCATTGTGTATCCAATGAATATTAATGCTTGAATGAGGCTTCAAGGATCTTTGTTAATAAGTTACAAAAGAGAACAAGAGTAACACATTTAACAGTAATTTTATGAAGTGGCTAACTAGCTCAAAAGTGAATTATGCATGGTGCATTTAATACATTCTTAGGACAAGGTGCCATTTTCTCATAAGAATGGGACTAGAGTACAGTAGTTGCTTCCCCACTCTAAAGAGAAAAGGAACCAATTAAATCCTGCAAGGCCCCAGAGAAAAACATTTATGAAAGACAGTCTGAATATGTAAGATCAACTGGTTCATCATTCCATCTGCAAAGGCAAAAGAATGTTCATTAAATACCAGAATAGAATAATAAAGGAACAGTTAATCCTTTGTTTCAATCTGAATATTATGTTCAGTGTGCTTCAAGAGCAAATTTACAATCACTATGGATTTTTCATGCATCCCATAACCTATAATTTAGCCGTAGACCCCTTCCATTTTTTTTTGTAACCGAGTAATAGGCATACAGTAGGATATTGCTCAAAGGCTACAATAGATATCCAATAAAGCATTGTCCATGTAGTATGTTGGATGCAGATGTAGAATACAACACATTCCACTTGAAGTAATTAGTTAAATTTGGTTTATTTCTTTTCTAAGACATATATGGTACTGGAAGCTACAATCCTTAATATTAACATATATTTAAGAATAGTATCAGAACAAGTGATCAAGGACCTGACCATTTACCCATTTAAGTTAATTGCAGCCAATGATAAGAGAAAATAAACGGGATCTCTCTCTTTCTATCTCTTGTCATAATGCCTATATATGCCATATATGTCTATATAGATAAAGCCGCTATTCTGAAATTCTATTTAAATTTCATTTTGAATGTTACTCTGATCAAATTTTGATAGCATATGCAAACATCCTAACCTGATAAATCCTGCTGTCTTCTTTAGGAAAAATCCAATCAGTTATCTGCTTTTTGGGGGTGGGTGGGTAGATGCTATTTTTGTAATGTATAAATTGAATTTGATAAGGGTGGAATTTCTAAAAAAAAACAAAAACAAAAACAAAAACAAAATAGACATTCCTCACACTAGAATGAATAGGAGGTATCATAGAAATTAGTGAAGATAAATTGAGTTTTCTATACCTTAACTCAATTTAGAATTCTATGAGAGAAAAAACAATCCCATAATTTTTCAAAATGTTTAAGAGAGTAGCTTGAACACAGCTTCTAAGTTTTAATTCAGTGGTCCAAAGTGTCCTTTCCACTAGAAGTTAATGCTTTATAAAATATTTTCTCATTCTTTTTGAAGGTTCACTTTTTCTCATCTTGCTTGCTAGGAATTTTATAATTTCATGCTCTCATCATGGCTTCTTACTTAGACTATGACTTTTATATTAAGCTAGATAAGGTTCTCTTTCCTGAAATATTCATTTGTGAGGCTTGATTCCTCACAGCTGTTGCTTTGAAGTGTGAGATAGCATTCCGAATATGACATATTGCTGTTTTTGCCATAAACCTGAAGCACACTAAGAATTAGTACTTACCTGTCACTGCAGCTGAGTGGACATCTGTGAATTCATACAGATGGGTTGCGAGACCATAGAGCATATTGGCAAAGTTTTAGTGTTTACAGAATTATTTAGCAAGAGTCCCACCCTCAGCTCTATGTAAATCACAGAACCACCCATTTCTCCAAAGTTGTTATTCACTGAATAATGACTTCCAAAGTTTATATTTTAATTATATGCAAATCAGAGCTGTTAAATATTTATATAATGCCATTTATCTCTATCCACCTTATCCAATTCATCAGGAGGTCGTGTTTTGGGTACAGTCAGTAAAGGAGCGTTGGCTGGTAGGATCCAGAAAGAGAGCCTTTTCTGCTATGACATCTGTCCTTTGGAAGGTCATTTCCCCAGGGACTAGATTGGCCGTGTTTTTGCAGGCCTTCCATAAGGCCTTGAAAACTTAGTTTATGGCCTTTGCCTGGGGCCCTGGACATGTTATGTAGAGCTTATCTCCTTGTGTGGATAATTGGTTGGATGATGTCTGGCTGCTATGTGTTTTGTTTTATTTTAACATTTTGTGTATTAGGTATGTTATTTATTTCATTGTAAGCCACTTGAAGTCACATATGTGAGAGGGTAGCTATTAGAAATTTTAATTTAATTTATTTATTCAAGAAATTTATATGGTTGCCCAGCTTACATAGGATGACTCTAGACTATTACAAAATTACAAATTTACACTGCAAGGTTTAATGGCTTACTCTTTGCTAGCTTCCCCCTCCCCCCCATTCAAAAGTATGCAAAGCTAATGGCTAGGGATTCAAAGATTGACAGATATTGTACTTTAATGCCTTTTCCCCTCATTCTTGTCTGCAGGCTATACTGTGTTACTCTCAATATTCCTATTAAACACAGAGATACAAATGTATAGGCAGTGTTAGAGTCAAAAGTATACTAAGTCCCACTGATTTAGATAATTGTACTCCATCTTTTATCCCTCTCATCAAAATTATTACCATAGGTCTTCAGAATAATCCTACAAGAATGATTGATATTTGGAAGCAGGAGAAACAAAGTGTCTTTTGTACAGTAATTGCATGAACATACGGATATTTAGAAGACATCAGATCCATTCTAAGGAACATTACACCATGATCTTTAAGAGCCAATGGACACATAGATGAAACTAAAACACATTACTATGATAAACAATGTCTGAAATTCACACACGTTCAAAACTGGCCACAATTCAACAAAAAGTCTTAAGACTAACAAAAATGCTGGGTTCATGCATGACTATTCACTGGTGAATAATAATAGTTAGTCTAAAACATTCTTAAAAAATAAACAATTTGTAACCCACTCAGGTTACCTAACCTCATAAAAAGAAGTTTAGTCAGTCAGTCTTCAGTCAAGCTATTTAATACTGCATTATAAATGAAATTCATGTGAAAATCACTGACACATTACTTGGTAAAGAACAGTACAGTCACATGATGAGACATTTGCAATATATTTGTTAATCAGATTGGGAAGTTGCAATAACATTTGCATAATTGGCTCACACACTTTCAAAATCACAGCAAATGGTTGGATCATTGACCTCATAACAAAGTATTGAGTATCAAACCGAATCGTTTCTGCACTTTTATTTAAAGATCAGAATTTGACAACCACATATGAGCCAATGTTGAGTAGTCATTACATAAAGACTAAAGAAATTTAACTTAAAATTCAGTTCATTAGATTTTTAGACATTTAATACTATCTTAGTTCTGTGTTCATAAAGAAAAACCCTATCTTACATGTAAACTCTGTATTTGTATGTGGTGCATGTACGTGTGTGTGTATGTGTACATTGCAAATTTGATAGAAGAGAGATATCATAATTTCCTTATTGATTTATTTGAACAGACAATTTCTTTTATACCATTATCCAAGAACATAGTCCAGCGACTTATCCCAAATAAGTAAAGATGCATAACACTGGGAAAACCATAAAGATTTTAATTTTCCAATAAGCTATGGCTTCTCAGACATGCTTTAAGTTTGGTTCTGAATTTTTTTTAACCCCAAGTCTCAAAGTTTTACAGTTGTAATATTGCGCACAAGTACTCACAGATATTTGCAGTGCCCTTAGGAATGGGTAGATAGGAACCTGGACTCCAAGGACGTCCCTGATAATTCTTCTTACATTTCCCACAATCTGGGCCTGTGGTATTGTGTTCACACTCGCATAATAATTTTTTATTTTCAATTTTGCAACCAGTGGCATGAAGATTACACTTGCACCTGATAAAAGGAAAAGCAAGACATTAGCACACTTTCAATTAAATTTCAGTCAGTGTTGTTCTGGCTGAAATTCAGTGATTGGCAACAGATATGCAAATAACTAAAGTCCACATAATAAAAAAATGACTTTCTCGCGCTGAAATTGAACTTTGGTTAGGATGAACAATTCAGAACTATTTCAGAAACTTGAACAAATGCAGTAAGAGATGTATCTATACTGTGTGTATTGAAATAACTTTAGGAAAAAGGATTAGGAAATGATTCTCTAAGTCTTGTGCTCCGATAAAAAAGAATACATATACTTAAGCCAGCATTATACTATCTCATTCTGAAAACTACACATTTGATTTAATTCTAATTCCATTCCTGTTATAAATCTTGGCAATAGGAAGTTTTATTTTTGTATACATTGTATTATGTGTGTGTACAGGAGTAGAGACTAATAACTGTCATTGATGTGCCTTCGGAACCCTCTCCAGATGTTGAATCTAGAGGAGGAAGAGGAGGATGAGCCAGATCTTGGCACCTCAGGGGAAGCAGAGTGTAATGGAGGTTTGGATCAGGGAATGGAGGGCTTTAGCCCAACAGAGCAGCTACAGCTGGGTTGATCAGACGGATGGCAGGCTGAGCCTGAGCCAAGGAAGTCGCAGCTGCAACAGGTTAGCTTAGAAACTCCAGGCAAGGGACATGAGCAGCTGCCAGTGGCCAGCGAGTATGAGGAGGTGGAGCCCATGCCTCCTTCCAATCCAAGGATGCAAAGGGCAGAGAGGAGACATTTGCAAAGTACTTGGAAGGAGACAACCTTGTCCTCTATGAAGGGCTGCACTAGCATTGCTTATTTAATCCTGCCCTAAGAGATGGGCATTGCTAGGACAATCTAGTTCCTTGTTGTGTGTTTCTGTTTTGGGTAACAAAATTCCAAACTTTGTTACACAAAACAGAAGCAGGGAATGTATATTGTATGGGCTTTTTTGGGGAACTGACGTGTGTGTTTGTGTTTGTGTGTGTGTGTGTGTGTATGTGTGTATGTGTGTTGAATAAAATCCATTTACTGTGATGTGTGTAAGTGAGGCAACACAACAACACATATTTCAATTAGTTCCCAAATTATACTTTCTAGAATTCTTCAGAATAATCTGTGACAGGTTAAGTAGAATGAATTAAGAGTGTACACTTAGATATCAGAAAAAAAGGGGGAAAAGTGAGGGAGGGAGGGAGGGAGGGAGGGAGAGAGACATAAACTAATTGCTGTTAGAGAAGCAATTCTTCATATTGTTTTTTTGCCTTTAAATTGGATCATAACTAAACAGCTGTTGAAAAAGAAGATGCCATCCAATAAAGATTATCTTATAGCCCTTCAGAGAAGAATGCTTGAAACAAAAAGCTTCTTTGAGAGCTCTTGAAACAGAAGCTTTTCCAAATAAGAAATCAGACCAAATTGGGAAGAATACATTAATTCCAACCTCACATATATTAAAATGATTGTCTCCCAGGTTGTTTTGGAATATATACAGAATCTAGCTCAAGCTGAAAGTAAAATTCAAAGACAAAGATTGCAAGAAAGACAAATAGCAGTTCCTGAACACAAGAACTGTTGTAAGCTTGACTGGCCAAACAATATCCCTAGTTTTGTTATGAACAGAGGCATGAAAATTCATGAAACTTCTTAGTTAATTTGTCTGATGGGCAAAAATCCATCATGCTTCATGGGATAAAGAGGCACTGTTAGGAATGATAGTCACCTAACGGTTGGGTTGGCAATATATAAACCAGGATAGTCATTAATACTGCTGTATCTTTAAGAGAATGTTGTAATTGTGATTGGCTGAGGTTCCTCCAATGGCCATAAGATGGAGCTAGAAACCTGGTTTGTTCTTTTTTGCATTTCCTTTGCTTTCCTTTTGCCTTTTGCCTGATCGTCATTCTGCTTGAATTGCTGTGAATCTTGCAACTATTCGCAAACTCCATTTACTGAACTTTGTTTATGATACTGGTAAAGAAAAGGACTTTGTTTTTGGATTATCCCTGGACTGATTATTTTGAATACTAACTGCTTTAACTGTGTATGATTTGGACTGTTTGTTGGACTTTGCTTGCCTGTTTACAGGAAGTAAAACTTACATTTTACTATTCAGTGTATCTGTGTGCTGGTTGTGTGTTATTCATCACCACTCTCACTATGTTTCCCTGAGTGCACTCATTCTCCTAATGGGGAATACCTCAACAGGCACTGCTGTATTCTTATCAATTAGTCTGTGTTGAGATGAGACCTGTGTTTGCCAGTATCCTCAAAGTTCAGCTACCTGTATAATAACCTCCTTCTTATTTCATTTTCTTATTTTTCTTTGTATGTTTATGCTTTTAATAAAAATAGTAATTCCCAAAAACATGATTTTAATCCTTTATCTTAATTTTTAAACATTCTCCCCTGATTTCTAACCCAGATACCAGAGCATTGTTCTGATAAAATGAAAAGCATCACTGCAAGTAAATCTTATAAGAATTTGTCCTTAATAGTATGGAATTTCACCATATGCTGACTCTGAAATGAAACATAATATTTATCCCAACAAAATGGTCTTTGACTTAATTAACCCTCATTAACCCTATTCATGCTTATTTATTAGATCTCAGGAGTTGTAAGCCATTTTTTATTGTTTTCTTTCAATGTTCTTATAATAAAATAGGATTTGTATTAGTAAAATATGAGTTAATGATTCGATGGAGTCATTAGGCTAGAAGCCAAGAGATGGTGAGTTCTAGTCCTGATTTAAGCATAAAGTCACACTCTCTCAGAAGATTTTGGAAAACTTCTGAAAGATTGAAAACTTTGGAACACTTGCCCAGAAAACTGCAGGACTTGTCCAAGCAGTCATTAGAAGTCAATACCGACTTGAAGACAACCTCCATCAAAAATGTAATATAAATAATTGGAATGGGAACTCACCGTAAGTAATCCTGAGAATTTCAAAAAGAGTTTGGAAAAATTATGACAATATATAGTTTAAGACAAAATCTTGTTAATGCATAATTCTGGCCAGTGTTTGAGACATGAATTAAACCAGAAAATGTCTCAAATACCTTAAAGTGGCTAAAATCCTCTAAAAATAATAAAGATGCTTTCAGCATGAAAGCTCCATTTAATCATTGCAATTTCTTTTCAGCGGATGTCACAGATAGCTTGAGAATTTGTTTCACAAAGAGGCTGAAGAGGTGCTCAAGAATTTAGCATCCTAGGCTGGTTATTCTTTTGATTATTTTAGATTAGGTTTTGAGAAAGATTCTTCTGTGGGCATTTGACACCAATTCCATGGAGTAAGTAGTAATTACAGAAAAGCAACTGAAAACTTGGGCACAATTTTAATTAAATTATTACCAATGAGTGGCTGCCAAATTTTGTTTTCATTTAAGAGAAATTTGACCAGAAGCAAGTAGCAATCTACATGTATATCCTCCAGAATTAAGCAAACTTTTGTTAGTTTTAAATAATTCTAGATTAAATAACTAGGCTCTCAATGTATGCATTTTCTTCCGTATTTTAAAGACAGTCAAGGAAATGATTGAAACCTGGGAAATTGCCCCCTTGTCAGTCAACAGGAGTGCTGATTTACTACCACTTTATCAGGTACTTAGGAGCTGAGGACTTGGCAGCACAAGGAAACAACAGCCAATGATTTAATAGCCAGCCATCAACACCCTAATCAACAAATAAAAAGCCACACATAACCAGGCACCACATAAATAGAATAGTCCAACACACACATTCATGTAGAGAGAAGTTCCCTGAGGATAGGCTCCAACACAAATCTGAAAGCTCAGAAGACTAAATCTCTGCTCCCGGTGACTGATGCAGATTGAATCCTACAACCTCCATGATTCAAAACACACTGAAATACGCTTCAGAGCGTACTGAAGTATGAGTTTCATATCTGTTTGACGGGGTGGGATTCAATTTTTTTAACAACCGGTTTGGTGGACATGACTAGGTGGGTGTGACTAGGGGTATGTGGCCATGTGGCTGGGTGGGCGTGGCTTCTTCTTTTTTTTTTGCAGCACCCCTCTGCCCCCCTTTTTTGGCCTCCTGGGCCCCAGGGAAGCCTCCTGGGGGGTGTTTTTGCTCCCAGAAGTTTTCCTGGGGCCCAGGAAGGCAAAAAATGGAATGCAGGGTGGCACGGCTCCCTCCCTGCACTCCCCCCCCCACTCCTTTTTACCTCCTGGGCCTCTGGGAAGCATCCTGGGTGAAGCAGTAAGACAGCGATGGGGATCTCAGCACAGCTGATCATCAGAACAGCTGCTCGTCGGGAGAGGGAAAAAAGAAATACCTTAAGGAGTGACTGGGTGGGGGAGAATGCAGTCACTGATATCGAGCATGCATGCAATATTGCGCATACGCGATAAGGACTGACTGGGCGAGGAGGGGAGGGGGTGGGCGGAGAGGGGAGGAGATAGCCAAGGGCATGATTTGCTGGTTCTCCGAACTGCACAGAATCATAACAACCAGTTCTATAGAACTGGTCCAAACTGGTAGAATCCCACCCCTGCTGTCTGAAACACGTTAAAGGAGCCACATACTAGAATCAATTTCAAGACAAGGCATAATGAACTACATTACCATCTCTGTTTGGTCCCTAGCAGTACATAGCCCAAACATTTGCTTAAAAAATATTAGTGAAGCCTTGCAACATGACCAATAGGAAGTCTTCAAGACCACAGGTTCCCTATCCCTGGTTTAAATATGAGCAAATATCCTTTGTGTTCATATTAGAAAATAAAGTCAAGGAATGGAATTCTAGCCTCTCAATGTTTGGCTGTACCCTTAGTAATAATTTTCCTAGATTTCCAGGGAAGAATAGTAATTTGAAGATAGCTTTACAAAAGTGGAGCTGACAATTCCAGCTAAGAACAGAGAGCCAATGAGTAGATCGGCTCCTACAACGGTTCCTGGACAAAGAGATTACCCAAGATGTGCTCCGTACCATGGTATGGAATTTCAAGAAGAC